TCTCGCTGGAGGCCCCAGTGCAGTCACCCAAGTTCCGACTCTACCATCCCCCTCGCTTGCCAAAACAGTGGCCCTCGACAGCTATTTCTCGAATGGTGGCCGCCTCTTCTGCCCCCTCGGACAGGGACAGCATGCCAGCCCCTTTCGTTCGCGGCGCCGCGCCACGCAGGGACCAGCCACCCTTAAGGCTGCGTGCCCCGCCCCTCTCGGCCATCGTGCTACCCTGCTTGTCTTGCTCCCCCCAGCTCATCCCTCTACCCCTGCCGCCGCCTGGGAAGACCAAGGCGCGGGCATCCCAGCCCCTTTCAGCGGCCACCCCCGCTATTCCTCCCGCTTGTTTTGACCCACCTGCTCTACAACCGCCCAGGGCGGCAATAATTTGTTCGGGCCCACCCTTTCGTCACCACCCTGCGCTGCCCCATTCTTCGGGCGCCCCCGCGGGAGGAGATTGAGAGGGGTCGCGCGGAACGCTGGCTTCACGGCGTTCCCTGTCGAGACCCGATCGTCTCCCAGTTGCCTCCAATTGTTGGGCGCGTCTACAGAGCGGTGTGAAACATACCCTGCAGTCATTGTGTGCATCTGCCACCGCCTGCGCACAGGCCCTTGAGTTCCTAAGGTTTTCCCCCCGCAGCGGCCTCGCCCGTGCCGCGGGCTTCTCGCGGAACCGCTGCTCAGGCGGGCGCCAGGCCCAGTTCCACAGTCAATGGCCACACTTGGGCGTGGAAGCGCAGCAGGTGGGTTTGCAGCAAATGCTTGGATTTCACTCGTAGATCGGCGAAGCCCTCGCCCTTTTCCACCCCGTGCAAAGGGCACAACGCCGCGCTGTTGGACCTCGCTCAGAATCCGCGCGGCCATTCGATGCACCTGTCCAACTATTCACTCGGAGTGGTATTCATCTGCAGCCGTTGCGGAGCATACTCCGAGAGCGGGGACCTCCGAGGTCTTGGTAGAAAATGCCCTCCCCGGGGGGTTTACTTCGTCAGGCGCGGAGCACGCGTGGCATTGTTTCACCAAGGGGCAGCATCCGAACCACAAATTGGGGCCGGCCAAGTGCCTGGACGAGTGCATGCCCCTAGCTTCAGTATTTAAGCCGTAAGTTTGCACCCCCTCTCACTGCGTAATCGGACAGGGGGCGGGGGGGGGGGCCAGGGGCGGGGGGGGGGCTCAGGGAGTGAGACTACGTCCGGGTGGCCTTCGCAGAGGCATTTCACGCTGCTCCGGCAGTCGGCGTGGCGCAGGTGCGCCTCCTAGGAGGCGGCGCTGCGCACTGCAACCTGGGACCATTGCAACAACAAAGGGCCTCGCCATCGCTTCATCCCTGGTTGGACACCCCACCCGCAATCCCGACGCGCACTCGTCGCGTCAGTCGCCAGATCTCATTCCTCGTTTCCTGCGCCCTCCTGTCGGCCTGCCCCCGCCCTCCCCAAACCCGAGCTCCTTCCCAATTCCCTGCCCCCTCCTATCTCTCTGCATGCGCCCTCCCACAGCGCCGGTCGTCTCCATCTCCCATCCCTCTTGCTACTCCTGCCCCTGCTACCCGGCTACCCGCGCAATCCTCCATGTGCACCGCGACAGTTTACCACATCTTATCTGCATTCTCTTGTTAACGCATGCGTGGCAGAGCAATCGCGCCGGAGGATTTATTAACCCAGCACGCGCGAAAGCATGTTTGGTGGCCATCCCCGTCTGGTGAGAGCCCTGCGTGGCACGTGCGCTCCCCAAGAGCGAAGGGGGGCATGATTTGTCCGCCTCCGTGGGCCCCTTTGGAGTCGAAGCTGTGCAGTAGGCTCGGGGCGGAGCAACGAAAATGTCAGGAATTTCGGCCTGCCAGGGGGGGAAACGTAACGAATTTCCCCCCGCTGGGTAGCAGAGAATTACAGTCGTGCTTCCTATTTGATCTTCTTAAGCCACCAGTCCATACTGAATGTTTTTAATATTGTGGCATCATCGGCTTATCCACCATCGCGCCCCTCGCTCCTACCCGACATTCTCTCGCTCTCCCCCAGTTTCTCGCTGGAGGCCCCAGTGCAGTCACCCAAGTTCCGACTCTACTATCCCCCTCGCTTGCCCAAGCAGTGGGCCTCGACAGCTATTTCTCGAATGGCGGCCGCCTCTTCTGCCCCCTCGGACAGCGGCAGCACGCCGGCCCCTTTCGTTCGCGGCGCCACGCCACGCAGGGACCAGCCACCCTTAAGGCTGTGTATTCCGCCAGTATCCTCCTCCTCCTCCTCCTTTTCCTCCTCCTCCCTCCTCCTCCTCGTCCTCCTCCTTTTGCTTCTCCTCCTCCTCCTCCCCCTCCTCCTCGCCCTCCTCCCCCTCTGTTATCACTCCACCAATTCCTTTTCACTCCTCCAATTCCTGTCCACTCCTCCTTCTCCCCCTCTTCCTCCTCCCCCCCCCTCTTCCTCCTCCTTTTCCTCCTCATCTTCCTCCTCTTCCTCCGATTCCGATTCGTCCCACTCCTCCTTCTCCTCCTCCTCCTCGTCCTCTTCCTCTTCCTCCTCCTCCTCCTCCTCCTCCTCCTCCTCCTCCTCCTCCCCCTCTTCACCCCATGTCTTTTTCTGCCATCCTCGTCATATTCTTGGTCTTCGTCCCCCGTGCTCCCCTTGTTGCCTCTCCTGTTCCTGGTACTCCACGGCTTACGCTTCGTTGTAATATTTCTGCCGCCGTTTTAAAGTATCCGCGCGCAAAACGCCCAAGGACATATATGATACAGATTTTCCCCCGTCGTATCAAAATCAGAATGTTGGCACGTGCGCCCATGAACCATTCGGGTGATTCTGGGGCCAGCATCGATATGCGCCCCGCCCCCCCCCCCGCCTCCATCGCCCGCAGCACCTCACACCCCCACCTCCCCCCCCCCCCCCACGCTGAGGCATAGTTTCTGTTTAGCGCAGGCCGTGGGCTCGCGCTATGGTTGCGGATTTTTCGCTGTCGCAGGCCGCGAGAGATTCGTAACCAATCGATGATAGATAGTGCCCGTGCGCTGACACCACACAGCCGTAAGCCAATATATTGATACTCGCCGCTAATACTACACCTCGCACAGTCAAGATCAACCCTACATAAATCATTCACGACAAAATCATAACCAAATGCAAAATCTCGTAACAAATAATCACGTAGCCAATCAACGAGGCACTGCCCCTATAGCCCCCGAATCGGACGTTGCTCGTCACCTATTGAATGACAAGTCATCTGATTTATGTTATCGTACATCTCCGATAGTCGCACAGCAAGCAAACACTGTGATACGTAGAAGCTCAACATGGGCGTAGCGACGTGATTTGGTCAAGTTCGCCTGTTATATAAGTGGCCCCAGGTGTGCCGGAGACGGAGTGGCTATCTGGGCTACCGCCGGGACGCCCTCCTTGTTTTTTTTTAGGGCTCGCGCCCGGGGGACGGCGGGCCGCGCCCGCCACTGGCCGGCTGGCGACTGAGCCGGCCCAACCTTCCGCATCTGTGCGGTCTAGCGAGGGGCACAGAGGACTGCCCCACCCGCGCTTGGCAACCAGCATAACGTGCCCGGGGCCATTCGATACCTCTCGGGAGGTGCCTGAGGAGTGTAGCATACGGGAGGCTATGCACGCTGACTAGTCAAATATAATAGCTCAGTAGACAACTCTTACAGGTCTATAGAGTAGTGTCCCGTTATAGGAGCTACTTGTTATATCGCTACCCTAGATAGGCATCCAAATATAAACATCAGAAGTGGCACCCCCAGGCACTCCCGGGCGCGCCCGGGCACCCGGGCACCGGGGCGCCCGGGCACCTGCAGGGCGCCCCCAGGCACGCCCGGGCGCGACCGGGCACCCGGGCACCCCCGGGCACCCCTGGGCACCCGGGCGCCCCCGGGCACCCAGGCGCCCGGGCGTGCCGCGAAAATCGGCGGCAAACCTAACCTAACCTTATGTATAATATTGAGCTATAGGGCTATAGAGCTATAGATCTATAGAGTTTTAGGGCTATTGGGGTATATAGGATATAGGGCTATAGGGCGCCCCCGGGCACCCCCAGACCCCCGGGCGCGCCCGGGCGCCCGGGCCCAGGGGCCCGGGCACCAGGGCACCCCCAGGCACGCCCGGGCACCGCGGCAACGGGCACCCGGGCACGCCCGGGCACCCCCGGGCGCCCGGGCGCCCCCGGGCACCCGGGCGCGCCGCGAAAATCGGCGGCGAGCCTTACCTAACCATATGAATCCGCTAGGACCCCATACAGAGGCAACCTCTGATTGGGGAATAATGGCAGCAGTGGGCTTGCGTCGACGCGAGCATCTAGCGCAGCGTAGCACAGAGGGCGAGCAGCGAGGGAGAGAGGGGGAAGACACGGAGGAGGAGGGGGAGAAGGAGGAGGGGGAGGAGGAGGAGGAGGAGAAGCTGGCGCGACCCTACCTACGTGCGCGACCGCGAGCGTGCTGACGATGGGGGACAGGAAACGCTACGCGGGAAGCGGTTCATTGCAGCCCAGGCTTTTCAGGCCCACAAGCGTGGGGCCCACAACGCGCGCACTTCTCTTGTGCAGCTCGTCGTGACGTGCCAAGTCCCTGGTGCCTCAGTAGATTCAACGACCGCAAGACTGCGATCGGTCATTGCCGCCAGTCAGTGGAAAAGTACGGGGCATGTCACGCGGGCCACAGCAAGTGGGCGCACGAACTAATGGAACCGTCCGCATTGGTCTGTGGCGTCTGTGATCATGAGGCTCAGGATCGATTATCTTCCCAGTGCCGCGTCCGCACTCGCTGCGAGGGCCCCCGTTCCGCCCGCGAGCGGCTTCGCGATGGCCGCCGCCGCGCTGCCGAGAGCGGGCCGGGAGCTCCGCGGCAAGCGGGGCGCAGGAGGGGAGTTCGGCGAATCGCAGAAGACGAGGCAAGGCACGGCCACGGGCCCATGAGGTGGAGGACCGCCCCCACCGCGAGGATCAGGCCTGTTCGACGACGACTGCGACGGCCACGAGGAGCGCCTGAATGCGACGATGAAGCTCGCCCTGCGAAGCGCCGAGACATGGGGGGTGATATCCGCGCGACGAGCGACTTCTGGCCGTTCCCGTCGCGGGCCCCGACCTTCCAGGCGGGGCTCCAATCCGCGAGGGGCTGCGCGCAGGAGGTGGGGGCGATCGGGGAAAAGCGCGGCCTGGGCCCTCGTCGCGTCCACGCGGCGATGGAAGTCTTGAGAGAGCTCCGCCTACCCGTGGGCGGCGCGACGGGATCCGAGATGGAAAAGCACCGCAAGACAATATTCGGCCAGTTTATCACTGCAACGGCGAACCAGCGCGGGCGTCTCATGGCCCAGGTGATTTTTCAGAGTCCCAAGGCCAGCGAGACTTACATGAAGGACGAGGAGGCCGAAGGGGCCCGCCTCGGGATTTTGAGCTCCAGCCTGAATCCCACCCCCGTCCTCGGAGCCGCGCGGCGGCAGAAAGAGATCGGGGAGACGGCGCCGGCGTGGGTGAAGAACTTCTCCGCGCTCAAGCTCAAGGAGGCGATGGCGGTAGGGCCCCCGGGGATCAATGCCGCGAAGGGACGCGGCGCGGGCCCCGAGGCAGCTCTTGAGCGCGCAGTGGAAACGGCGCTCCGACGCAGGCGCAAGGCGCTCCGTCGCGACGACAATCCAGCCTGCATATGCTGGTGGGAGATCACGGTGGGCAAGAGGTCCAAGCGTCGCCCACGACGGTCGCCCACGGTGCGCTGCTGTCTCCACTTTCGTCGCCTGTTGCACGCTGGCCACCGGGGAAAGAGAGATGGATCAATTTGCGAATGCGATCAGCCTCGGCCCGAGGCGTTACCAGACTCTCCGGGGCCAGAGGGGACATAGCACGAAGTTTCAGGAGTTGTTTGATCTTGCCACGCAGTACAGACTCAGGCGCACGAGCATTGTGGAGTCTCTCGCGGGAGTTTTCCAGGAGACGACCAACGCCGAGGACTCCGGGCCACCGGCTGGGGCCTGAGGTGCATCGAGCTCAGAAGGGCCCCCAACGACTCCTACTATTCCCGTTCCAGAACGTTCCGGGAACGCTCCGCCGGAACGATCTGAGAACATGCACGGCCAGGGCAAGACTACAACATAATTTAGGAAACATGGAGGCACAGGTACCGACATGGAGGAATCCGCAGATGGACCGCCAGCGACCCCGACGGGGCTTAGGTACCAGCGTAGGGACAGTAGTGCTACCCACTCCTGCTACCACAGTGCGATGTACAATTTTTGCGCCGACGCATTTTCTTTGCGTTGCAGACGGGCTCAGATTGATTGCCAGGTTGCCTCCTTTCTGTATCCTGACAGCTTCCGACTACAGTGTCGATGGTAGACCCGCCTCCTCGCCCGAGGAGGCACGTCCAGCCGCGCATTGCACGCTTCGACGCCCGCTATTCTTCGCCGACTGGCAGACTGATGGTGAGTAATGAACGCTTGCGCAGCACTATGCGTGTTTCCCTCCAGGCCGCCCCAGCTATTCGAGATGCGGCCGACGCGCTACAGCGCCACAAGACCCTCCATGAGTTGTGCTACGGACGTCTTAATCAGCCAGCGCGATTGGAGATAGAAGAGCTTGGAAAGGCAGGAGGTGCTTCGCCGAGTTCGCGCACAGGCGGTCATCGCCGCATATGCCATCAATAGCCTTCGCTACGCACAGCAGCAGCTCGAGTGCGATGATGAGAGCCCCTCCCCTCCCTGGCCAGATCGAGTGAATTTCGTTGACGAGCTTGGAGTGAGGTAGTTCTGAGCGGGGTGAACCAGTGGCGAACCGTCTGCAGACGGCCCCGACTGCAACCTCCTAGCGCGGCCTTTTGATGCATTACGCCTGCCGCGCCGTGTTTGCCCTGCCCCGCCCCCCGCCGCCAGCGGTCGGGAAGGGGAGAAGGCCCGAAAGGAGGGCATTTCGTGATATTCGTCGGCCTGCCGTGCGTCTACAGCTGCCGTCCCCGCCTTTTTGTTCTCGCGTATTCCCATGCGTCGGTTTGCCGCCTCTTGGGGGGGGCCGCGCCCGAGGTGGCCTGGGGCCGTCCCCGCGTTCCTCGGCTTGCGCGTCCTGCATATCCGCTCCTGCTGCCGCCGCGGGGAACGGCGCTCGGGCCCCCCCGCGGCAGCGTGCGGTAGCGGGGGCGAGGGGGCATGCGATCCTCTCAACGAGGCTACGCGCCCCACCGCCATATGGCCACCCACCTCGGACGCAACGGCGCCCGCGGTGGGTCGCCAGGCTGGCCCGCTCCAACGCGACGGGCTGGCCCCCAGCTCCCCGCGGGGGCTCCGCGAGCGCGCTGGGCCTTTAGCGGACTTCGACCCCCCGGCGCCTGCCTGACCCCCTTTTTTGCCCCCCCCCCCCCTCCTTCCCCTACCCCACCTTCCCCCCCACCCCCCCCGCCCGAGTGCCCGCTTCGAGGCGCGGCCGACTGTGGGGGCGAGCTCGACGACGGCCGAGGCGAGCCGCGAGCGGGCTGCCTGCGGCCGCCAACAGTTTTTCGCCGTCTCTCGGGGCATGGCCGCGAGAGACGCGCTTGCCGCGGCGCCGGGATGCCGCTGGCGATGGGCGCCGCAGTCTCAGAGGCCGCGTGCGACTATGGAGTTTGCCCTGCCTCCTCTTCCCCCCCCCCTCGCCCCCCCTCCTCCGGGTCCGCCCTCGGGTGGCGGATTTGCTTTGGCAGAGCTGTGATATTCTCGGCGGCGCGGCGCCCTGTCCGCGGCGCCCTGTCGGGGCATCGCCCCCTGGCAGGGGCCTGCAAATAGTCGCCCAGGCGGGCGCTGCGCTCCGGCGAGTTCTTCTGCGTCGAAATCCGCGCGCCGTTTATCTCGGGCCGAGGCTCCAGGGTTGCCTGGAAGTGGCCACTGCCCGCACGTGCTTGCACGATTGTGTCCGCGCGAGCGCTGCGCGTGCCAATCAACGAGACCCATCGGCGAGCGGCGGTGCTCAGCGCCCGCGCCAGGACGCGCGCCCTCGCCGCGCCCTCCCCCCTGGCCCTCCGGAGGCCAGGGCGCCCAGTCGAGCCCCTGCGCTCGCCCTTTCCTGCGCTTCGGGTTGGGGGTCTGCCTCCCTCGCGCGGTTCTTTTCGCGGCTGAGAGCCGCAGCTCTGCTGCCCTGTCGCGTGCCCCACCTGTGCGCCCCCCCCCCGGGCCCCATTGGCGCCCCTCCGGGGCCCCCGCTCTTTCCTCGCTGTCACTCCACGTCGTGCGACCGTTAGTCGCGATGCTCTTCGCTTCCGCCGCCTTTCCCCCATCCTTGCCAAGACTTGCGACCGTTAGTCGCCTCTGCCTCGCGCTCGCCCTTGTGCTCCGCCAAACTCGCGACCGTTAGTCGCCTCCTCGCCCGCCGCCGGCGCGACCCCCCCCTTGCGGGCGCCAGCTTCCATGCCGCCCGGTGCGCCCGAGAGGCCCGTGCTGGGGCTCTTCCCCTTTTTGCCTTCCAGGCCCCTCGCCCGCCCCACTCGCGGCCCCTCAGGGGGGCCGCCCGGGCCCCGTGCCCAGCGCCGCCTGGCGCGCGCCCAGTTGGGGCTGTCGGCCCGAGCCCGGCCCCCCAGGGCGCCCTTGTCGCTGGGTCACTTGCGGCTCCCCGCCCCCTGTCGCGGGCAGCCCTAGGCGGTCGCGCGGGGCCCCCTCGGCGCTCGTCTCGGCCCGGGGCCCCAGGGGCGCCCGGGGAGTTTCGCCGCCGCGTCTGCTCTCCACGGCGCCCCGCCCAGCGGACTTTGTTCAGCGCAAGGCGCCGCCTGGGCTTCTCCTTTGCCGCGTGGCTGTCGCGGGCTACCTCTTTCGATTCTGCGCCTGCCTCTGCTGCCCCTCCGCCTCTGCCCCCCGGCCCATCGGCGCGTGGCCTGCGGCGCCCCCCCCGGCCCGGGGCGGCTGACCTCCTGGTTTCCCCCCGCCGCGCGGGCCCTTCCCCGGCGGCCCCGAACGGGGTCCTCCTGCTCGCTAAACTTGAGACCGTCAGTCGCCATCCCGTCCGCCACTGGCGCACCCCCCCCCTGTGGGCGCCGGCTTCTTTGCCGCCCCCTGCGCCAGAGTAGCCCGTGCTCTGGCTCTTTCCCCCCGCGCGCTTTCCGGGCCCCTCGCCCGCCCTACCCGCGGCCGCTCCAGAGGCCGCCCTGGCCCCGCGCCCTGTCGGCGCGCGCCCGGCTTCCCAGCGCGCCCTTGTCACTGGAAGGAATTGAAAATTAGCGACAGTTAGGCGGAGTTATAACTCAGTTTTAGCTCAGTTAGCAAAGTTAGCAGGTTGATTTCTTTTGGATACCATGATGGGTGTTTGGGCAACGTGCGCTGGATTTTTGGGGCGTACAATGTCGTTTCGACGTTTTTTTGTTTGCGGGATGATTTGAAGATATATTCATCGATGTGAAGATGTATCTCTGCATCGCAAACGCGTCGCTAGCATTGTAATTTGCGAGACTCCACTGGCCAAATGCAAGTGATTGCATCGCCGAGCCGCCTGTTAATCACAGCGTGCCTTAGCCTGTGCAAAGGAACGAGCGCGGGGTTATTTTCTTCGTCTATGGAGTACCTAGAATAGTGCTCTGCGCTGTGCACGTGCCGAGTCTGCAATTCCAAGACTAAGCGTAGCCCTGAGGGCGTCGTCTCCGCGTCACACTCTAAATGGAACCAGACCTGCACGGCTGCGCGTTCTGCAGCATGCCCCAGCAAGCATCTGTCTCCTTTATGGGTCGACCCGTACTTGGCGCACGCCGCGAGGCTCGACGATGCCGATTGCGTCTGCGAACGTAACTCCTGCAAGACGTTCACGCGCTACCTATTGGCGTCTACGGGGTCGACCAGCGCCGTTGAGATGCCGAAGTGCTGCGTGTCGTAACTGCGTTGCGCCGTGAGCTGCGTCATCGATGATTTCTCGGGGGTCCTCATGCACAGCTGGTCCCGTGTCAACTTCTTGCAAGCTTTGCGTTTCCGCCTGTGGTCGAAGCAGTTCAAGGGTCCGAATCTGAAGTACATGTCGGCAAGATGAGTTGCCAAATGGTGCTTGTGAGCCCAATATTTCGTACCGTAGGTGCGCTTGTGTAGGTCAAACTGCTCCATCGCGGCGCCATCGAGCTCACGTGCAGTCACGAGGCCCCTGGCCGAGAGAGTAACCATATCAACGGCGTCGCACAGCGCAGGTAAACTTGCAATCTGATCCGAGATGGTGCCTGCATCTGGCAGCTTGGCAATGACTTGCCTGATGAAGCGCGCCAGCACGGGAATCATAGACAGCTCTTGCGATGCGTTTGCCTGTAGTTCGCCCTGTACGAACGCGGCATTGGCGGTGTGAAACTTGCGTGGCCACGCCCATTTCGATATGGTCGTGGAGATCATCGGCGCTGCAGAGTTTGCCAGCCGCCTTATTCTCAGTGAAAGCGTTCGCTTCTCGGGCTATGATGCCGCTGGCGCAATAGATGCGCATCCAGTTGAAGCAGAGGAGGGGCGTGGCCCCGTAGGCGAGGTTGGCGTGCAAGGCAATGTGCGCCAGATGAAAATTCCAACCCTCTAGCTGCGCGATCTCCTTCCATCTGCCGTCGCTAATCTCACCGCGGTCGTGCCTCTCCCAGTCGGGGCGTAGCCTTTCCAGGATCGCAGCGATCTGCGCGTCTGCGTTGACGACGCGTTTGCTTTTGTCGAGGCAGGCGTCCGATATACATGTGCCATACGTGTCGTGCGACGCAGAGTCGTACTTCTGGTTGAGGACGTTTCTGCAGATGGCACGCGGCTTGGTGCCCGCGTACTCTCTGTTCATGTGGAATTCCCGCAGGGCTTCTTCGTCGCCCACAGTGCAGCCCAACCTCGCGACTATAGCCGCGTGCCCTGTGGCACCCCCTGCATCTGACGCGTCCAAGATAACTCCAGTCGTACGAAAGTTCACCCCGCCAGGCGCATTGAACATGAGCTCGTTGCACGCCATTGCGACCGACTGCCCGATCCCTCCAGTCATGCCCCTCACTTTGGCAACCCGAGCGGTGCTGAGCACGAACCATGCGT